AATGGAAATTTACTGCGATGATCATTCTTCACTTTCATCTACTACCGCAGTTCAAATATGAATTATTTCATATATACTTCACATCAATATGGTTTAGTACTACATAATATGAAAACCTCTGTGGTATCATGTTTAATCCCTATCCGTGTATCACTTCAGCAAGAAACTTTACTTCACAACACTTCTCTTCACGAGGTGTTCAAAGGTTATCGTTTAGCTGACCGGTGACTGATTGTGTGGCAGCCCACACAGGAACAGCCCAACATGTTTCTGGAAGGACAGCACTTTCAATGAGCTAGCTTCTCAACAACGAAGATTTGTAATGCTAAAAATCTGCAATATTCATTTGAAGTATTTATTCCATGTCATGATTCTTAGCTTGGTTGTGTGTCAACAGGTGATTGTGGCAACTGGGAATCTTATGGAGAATGTAGTAAGACTTGTGGTGGTGGAGTCCAGGTTCGCACAAGAGAATGCCCAGCAAAAAGCCTTCATTTAAAGCAGCAAAAGAAACACTGCAATACCAACCTTTGTCCAGGACAAGGTAAGTAACATGCATTGTCGCAAGAGTGATATTTGGGTCATACTTCGGCATATAAAGCGTAAAAATAACAATAACAATAACAATAATTATAATAATAATTTGTAATTGTTAATGGACCGAATGGAGTACAATTCTGGGAGTAATCGCGCGAGCAATTTCAAGATCGGACGAGCGCGAAGCGCGAGGCCGATTTGAAATTACGAGCACGATCACTCCCTGAAATGTGCGACACGAGGTCCAATTACTAATTAATGGTATCTATAACAAATTTCGGAATTAAAAATGTCTTTTGAGAACTTCTTTTGAACGAAAACGTCTGTAACGCTTTTAAAAGCTGTGGGAAACATTGCGAAAGAAGTCATTAAAGCGCACGTAATTGACTTGCGAATCACGTACAGGTATCCAGTACGAAAAGTTCAAATTGGATACAGGGAGGGAGGGGGGGGCTGGAAGCCCTTCCCATAATGCAATGCGAACGAACTATATTGTCAACTGTCGTTTGTCACGTGACCTACTAGTTGTCAGTGGCGTTCATGGCGTCCACCTTGGTCAGGTTGGCGACCATTTCTTGAATGTTCGTCGTTAAAATATGCGCTTTTGGCCGTGTGTTGTGCTGTAAAGTACAGGAGATCTTTTTGCAAACTCCGTAAGCTGATTAGCAATACATTACCCGTCGTAGTGATGAGATTGTATTTGTTGTTGTTGGACGGCAAGCTTCTCAAAGTGACGCGCACTGGATTTGCGCCGTTTCGCGCCTTCCTTCTGCTGGAATTTTTCGCTTAATTCAAGTCGGTAATCTACCTTTTTGGTTCGCCAACGGATTGGTTTAGTTTGCCAATGTCTTTTTCAGTTTGTCTTCTTCTCATGTAATAGAGTTGGATCTTCGAAATCACCAAGTGGTAAAAACAAATTGGTGATGTTTTACAAGCTACGTCTAACAACTTACGAGTGTAAAGTTATAATCTCTTTAATATTTCATATTTGTTTACGTTTATGTTAAATTAAGCTGAAGTCTGAAATGAATTCATTAAAGTTATTTTTAACGCGAGATATCGGAGGTTAGTTTCTTGAAACAGATTTTGCGTGAGTGTCGATCAGTGCGTGAGTGGGTTTTCTTAGTTTCGTGAAAATAACAATTTATTTGCCATAAATATTTCTTGCTGGCTCTGTAGTAAAATAACATTTGCTGTTATTGTGCTAATGTAAGGATATTTCTAATCAATTAATTTATACTGCATTGATGTTAAAAAAAAAACAATATGTTATCAAACTGATTATCCTTCACAATTATTTTTAATGCTGATTGTACTAAAGGGATTATGCATAATCAATATTTAGTGGAGCATTCTCCTTCCAAATACATAATTCAAGATCAATAATTATATCAATAACTTAGTATTTTCATACGGCTGGAAGATAGGCAGCTGGCCTGTGGAGAAGTTGCAAAAGGGTAGATTGATTCCTTGTTGCCAAAAAAACATCGTTTTGCCATCAGCTAAACTACTGGATCTTGATGTTTGTAGTAATGACAACAAAAGTTTTATTGCTGAAGCCTCTGATGTTATCCTTTGGTCTGTTTAATTGAAAAGTTACAGTAGAAATTATTTTTCTATGGATGATAATATTTGTGTTAACTTTATGTGAGTGCTGTGGATTTTTTGTTATCTAAGATTAGATGAAAGAAAGATTTTTACATTGCCCTTTTGGTTCAGGTTCCAAGTGTTTGAACAATCATGACGTTGAATTAATAATTAATGCTCACTACATACATAAGTACATAGTATGTACCAAACTAGGTATTTGGGCTTGTGGCTGCCATAAAACAGTGACACTTTGTCTCCAAGGATAGGGGTTACATCTCTAGTGTTTAAAACACACAAGGCTCAGTAAAACTATTCCATAATTTATAACATGGGAGCATTGTTCCAGTGTAGTGCGCTGATCTCCGGATCAAGGAGCCCGGGTTCAAGCCCTGGCCGGGAACATTGTGTAACTTGTGTTCTTGTGCAAAACACTCAACTCTCAGAGTGCCTCTCTCCACCCAGGTTTATAAATGGGTACTGGCAAACTTTGGACTAGAATCCCATCCAGAGGGAAGTGGAAGTACTCCTAGTCGCTTCATGCTACAGAAACCAGGATAAGCCACAGCCTGATAGGCCATTTGGCTCATATGCAGAGTTTACCTTACCTTCACGTGCTCAATAGTGATAATTGACTTTTTGTTACACTTAGCTGGGTCTGAAAGGGTATGTTTGGGATCTGGAATGTGACCAAACTATGGTGCAGGATTCAAGAAATGCAAAATATCTTGACAGGATTTGACATCCAAAATTTGGGTATAGGATGTGGGATATTTTTTGTTGTTGTTGTTTGTTTACTGTATCTCAGGAATTTGGGAATTCATCATGACCCAAATAAATTTTTTTGGGGCCAAAGCGAATCAACCAGGCAAGCGCTAAGTGGTGTCTCCTTTCAAAACAAACTATAGAGTCTGTCTGGTTAATAGTTGTCTCATTGAAACTGGCAAGTTATTGACAGATGAGCAGACAGTAAACACCACCTGAGTAGAGAGTATTTTAAATTAGATATTTTCAATACATTTTTAGGGAAAGAAAAACAGGATTTGGGTTAGTGATGAAAAAAGTACAGGATGCAGAATTCCTGAGAAGTGGCCAGTCACTCTCTGATGGCATGAGATCTGAGTGAATACTGATAAACTGCACAAGTGCTCGGTCCCTCTACTAAACTCCATTTTGTCAGCAATCTGAACCTTATTTTCATGTGATGTTGTTAACATTCTTAAAGCTGCCAGTCGAGGACTTAGCAATATTTTGCAAAGTATAAAAATGCTGGACAGGTATATTATTTAATACTTCACAATGCCCCATCATTTAAATGTCACAGATTGCTGCATTCAGTTTGAGTTTAATTTTTAACTCTCACTTAAATTTTTAAAAAACGCTTTCCTTTTTTGATGCACACAGCCAGACAACACAAAAAAAAAACCATTTCTGTTTCTTTTTCTTTGTCATTGTGGCCATGTTTTCTTATGTCATTGTATCACTAATTACAAACCTGAAGCTGAAAAAGAAAGAGCACTCCATTAATCTGCAATTGTAAAAAACATCAAAATTTGTTTTCTTGTGGAACATTTTCCTAGACCCTTCTTTCCCCCATGTTTCGGGGAATTACAGAGCGATACAAACACTTTGATCTTGTCCTAGCAGGTGTGAGTTCCATGCTTGCTATGCTGAAACTTACAGATGCTTATAGTCATTTGATGGGAAGTCTATACTGACTATCAAGCGCATGCACACTTTCAAAACAACACACCAGTATTATTATTGCATCAAGTGAACATCATAATATAAAAGTCAAAATGCCTAGGCAGGTGACACGGACCTCAGTAGAAACTTTCTTTCCTTTCCTGAATGTTGTACAACAGTTAAAGTCTGATTTCATACGTGTAACTTATCCGGTGCCCAACATGGTTGACACAGGTATATTGATAGTTGCTGATCTTTTACTATAAATTATTCTGAATTTGTAGAATATTTAGCATCATATGATTTGATATTTTGAACATAAATAAGTAATTTTTATTTGAAGATGAAAAAAAAACAATTGTTATTTATCCGTCTTCATTGCATGTCCGCGATATTTTGCGAACCAAGAAGCTTGCGTCGTACTAGCCTGTCTGGCTGGCGGAATTGTGAGCGACTGATTTTTGGTGGCAGAGCATCTTCTGGAGATCAGAAAATGAGTGTTCATTTAGGCCTAAAACCTTGAAGTTAATTTCAACTCATCGGCATTTGAGGGATATCAAACATCGGACAATTTTCTTTTAGTATTTGCTGGCAAACAGCTCCAACTTTAGCTCGCCTGCAAGTCATTGTTTACATGCGACTTTTCAGGCATGACGGCCATCTTGCGGGAGCGAGTGAAATGTTGTACCGTAGGGCAAAAACAGGAAAAACCACAATAATGTTCGACATAATACCATCTAAAGTTATATGTCCCATTCCCTTATGGAAACTGCAGTTGGTTTCAGCAATATGATGCCAAAGCCTAACTTTAAAACTCGTGTAACAAGCACCAAAGTACATTTACGCCCGCCTGATTTCTTCTTCATTTCCTAATTGGCAAAAGGAACCCAGTGGAAAGACACTCGACTCGGTGCTTGTTTTTTGCGTATCAAACAGTGAAGTTAATTCGAGATCAATCGACTTTAAGATCTTCTATATATTGAAGCAGCAATTTACAGAATCTCTCTGCAAATTGCACAAGGTATAACTTGACAATCGGTCATAATTTAGATGGCATTTCGCAGCATGACGGCCATTTTGCCGAAGGGCAGAAATTGAGAACTTTCAGGACAAAGATAAAGGATTGAAATAAACATTTACAAACATTAAAATCCTAATTATATTTTCCTTAAAACATGAACAGAAGATACACCCAAGCTTGAGATCATAACAATGAATCAAATCGAAGTAGCAACCAAGTGAAAACCAGCGACTGAACCTCAATTAGCACAAAGTCTTGATTACATCTGTGAAAACTTGGGCGAACTTTGACGTGACAAATAGGCGCGCGGAGAACCAATCACGATCGAGAATTTTGTTATAGATACGATTAACTCTAAAAAAGTTTAAAAAAGATTATACAAATACAATAAAATCTTAAAATTATAAAATAATAAAGTTGATAAAATAGGTTTAATTGAGCTTCTGAAATAAATGTAGGCTATTTACATCTCTTGTAGCATAAAGATTGTAACAAAATTTTTCTTCCAGACACTGTATGAATTTTATCTTTGTGGAACAGATTTAAGCTACTGAACAACCCACAAAGTGCTCCTTAGTAATTTGTAGCCACGAGCTGATGGTACTAAGATCCCTGTGGTAGAAAAGTATTAATACTAAGTATTAATAAAAAAATCGGGCCATAGCTAGCAACAGGTAAACCGAGGCAATTGCCTCAGTCATTGTTGTTTTCTTTGGAAGATGATTTAACTATCCCTTAATCATAATTTTTTTCTGAAAATCATTAGCAAATGCCTTCAATGCTTACGCCTGTGCTTCATGACCCTCCACCCTCCTTAATCTATACCTTTGAACAATGTTATGACGACACCGCACATGATTGCCATTAATGCTAGATCCCCTTCATTATGTTATGAATATTGACCAGCTCTTAAAAAAAGAGAAAAGTTGTACAAAATGACAAACTGACCTATACTGTTACAATACCTGCGTCGTCTTTCTTACTTACTACTATTTGCCTTCTTTATCTGTATTTATATCTCAGAGCCTTGTATAGACGGGGAAGGAGATTGTCCTCGAAGAGCTGCTTCAGGAGACTGTTGGAAAACCGCACAACCACCGATACTGAAGACAATGCACTACGTTGGCAGAAATTTTCCAGAGTGGGATAAATGTAAAAAGAGTTGTCGCCGATGCAATGGTAAGGGCTGGAAGACAAATAGTGTGCAGCAAAACACGAGGACAACATTTGCTTTAAAGACTTTTAAGTTACCCGTGCGCTAACTTGTCAACACCAGACCGTTCAAATCCAGTTCTACTTGTAAGAAAGTTCAAAGTAGAGTCTACAGATTGTACAGATTAACTGTAAATAAAAGCGGCCTTTGAACCCTGTTTAAATAACATTAGTGGGAGTATTACACACTCCAAGGGTACAGGAAAAAATGAAGTTTTTCGTGAACAAAGCTCCCCACTGCAAAATTACATCCTACGCGAGAACATGGTCTTGTTTCTCTCACTTTCCCGGCGATTTTCACAAAACAAAGGCAGTGACGCTTGAATCACTCACAACCCACACGAGTTACATACTATTCATCAGCAACAATGCCTCATATTTAGAATTGCAGATTCTGTAACGTAAGATAGAGCGATAGAGAGGTTTTTAATTGGGTGGCGTTTACGTAACTGTCCAAATTATAACAATCGCTTTCACCAAGAGACCATGATTGCTTTGGCCAATCACAAAGAAAGCAAACAATAGTGAACCAATCTAAACTCGAAGCAAATACATGTAACTGATGCCAAGCGCGGGAAACCGTGTGCGAAAGAGTTTCGATTAATTTCGATTTAACTTTTAATTGGTTGAGAAAGTGCAAGCGCGAGTTTATTAAGCTACAGTCGAAGCTCTCCTTGCGACCACTCTCGTAGGCGACCGTATAAATCAACACTTTAATGACACTGCACACTGCGCTAATGGTTCGTTGATAAAGATCTCTTGTATAATGCAGTACTGTATTCGTAAAAGTTTATGGTCATTTTCCGTAGCGACCACTTAGCCTGCGTGGAAACGACCACTCACAGAGCCTTTATGAATTATTAATGAGTTTCTGAAGCTCTCGTTAGCGACCACCCTCTATTTTTTTATCTTGCGGTCGCGTACGAGAGCTCATTCTTGTAAGCGACCAGCTCTAGTTACGACCACTTTTTCGAATTTCCGAGGTGGTCGCTAACGAGAGCTTCAACTGTAGTCAAATTCCAAGTCAAAACGAATTACATTCGAATGAGAACTGCTCTATTCAATTTGCTTTTCGTTTTCCTGCAGTTGACCCCTCGTGCCAAGATAGTGATCCGTACATTTGTCCCTGGTGGTCAAAAGCACAAAAGAACCTATTAAAATGCAACTTTCGCTTTAAACAAGGTTACGGAATAAAGTCTCTGAAAGGTAAGCCGTTTCACGAAAATTAAGTTACAACAATAAATAACACCACTCTACCAATCTCTCAACACTCTCCTAACATTCATGAATAGAATTAGCAGACGTGGATTAGGGTAAAAGATGTGAAGGTTACAACCCCTATGCTTGTTATTGAAAATATTAAGATCCAGGGCCGGGTTGTTCAAAGCCCGATTAAGCTAACCCAGGATTAGCGAGAATTTTGATTTCAGTTTTGTAACTTTTGGGTGCTGTTTTCTATTTATATTGTTTGTTATCCAGGTTTGAGTTTGAAAAATCTCAAACTACACAAAACATGAGCAATGAAAAGCATTTTTATACAAGAAAAACAGATACTTCGATTAACTTTTAATCCTGGGTTAGCGTTAACCGGCTTTCGAACAACCCGGGCCAGCTGTTTGACTAACACAGTCAAAGTGTGTGTTAACGAAGACAGTCCTGCCCCGTGCGGTTGATCGATTTGCTTGCTCAGTGAAGCAAAAAGTAATTGCTCAACCTATGGAAATGTCTGGCTTGCAAAGGAAGATGTGATTGACCGATAACTTATTGAATCTCTTAAATATAACAGTTTTAACTTAGTTTTTAATATTTTAGCTATCACCAATTACTGTACGTCCTGGCAGTAGTCGTGGGTTAACGTACTAATATTACTGGCAACTCTTTTTTCCTTCAGATATGTGTAAGAAGAGCTGCAATCAGTGCAGCAGCGGTGGAGGAGGAGGAGGTTATTAGTTTTAAATCAATAGTAGATCTGAGAAACCCCATCCCCTTTTATCCTCTGAAAGAGAAACACGGTACATTTGACATCCTCATTTTCGTGAAAGGAGAAGCCAGCAGGGAAATTTAATTATTGCCTTAGTAGACCTCTCTCTTTCCTTACGATCCGTGGTCCTGGGGCATGTTGAGAAGAGGTAGAGCCACATTAAACGTCCATAGATGCAGATCCACAAACTACGTGTCTAGTTGTCATTTTAGTTTAAGGAAAGTAAGGATTCCTGAAAGCATCCTATCCCTACCCTTAGCTTACTCTTGGTAGAGGATCTGGATGGGGGAGCGTCTTCATTAAAAATGTTTTAGTTCTTCGGCCGTGTAGCAAAAGATACCTTAAACAAGACTTTCAGGAAAAGTCCCAAACCTGTACTGACAACGAATCAGACTCACGCAATCTGTTTTTTTATTTTTTTAGGGCAAGGAGGTGGTGGCTACGGTGGCGGTGGTGGTAGCTACGGTGGCTACGGTGGCGGTGGTCGACCAGGTCACGGTGGTGGTGGTAGCTACCGTGGCGGTGGTGGCTACGGTGGCGGTGGTGGCTACCGTGGCGGTGGTAGCTACCGTGGCGGTGGTGGCTACGGTGGCGGTGGTAATCGTCGTCCTGGTTTCGGATTCGGTCGTTAGGGACGTCGATAATCAGGCAGTAAACTTCAGGAAACCCTGTTTATTTTTCCAAGGAGTTTAAGCCTGGGTTTGTTTATTGCATAACGTAAATTTACATCACTATGTAAGGATTTTGTCCTGATTTAGTTCATTAATATTACTAGACTAAACTAGGTAAACTCCGTAATATACGGGAAGATGCATTTTTCATTTTTAAAACATGGTGTATTTGCAGTTTTTTTTTCAGTTCCAGATTTCAAAATCAAAGCGGGTCCTTATCGTGCCAGACGAAAAATGACAAAGGAATTCTAAATGGAATAGCAAACAAGCTGTAGAAATGAGTGAGAAATAAACTTGCAAGTTGAAAATAGTTCTTGATTTGTAATTTATTAATCTACCGGCAGTCTGGCTCAGCAGCCTACTAATTGGCCAGCTGGGTGGGTGAGTAGACTGATAGGTTACTGGCTGGACGATTGGGTGGGTGATTGAAAGGGTGAGCGGCTGGATGGCGTGACCAGCTGACTGGCTGGCTGCGTAATCATAACGATAACTTAGAATCAGTGATCATTCTGTCTCGTTGCGAGATGAGAGCAATTCTTTGGATACCTACAGGAAAAGGTATTGGGCGCACTCGTGTGAATGCTTCTAGTTTCCATTTCTTGAGCGATTTTTTGTGAACTTCCTACTGAAGACATTTAATGATATTCTTGTCGCGTCTGAAGCACGCGGACTAACGTTCAAAACGGCACTGAATCAATTAACTGAAGAGGAAATAGTGAAAGTGGCCAAACTTTACAATGAAGTATGTGTACAAAAATTTAGTCCCTAGTGCCCGACGGCTACACAAAAAGTCGAAATGGACGCGACAAATCGAAAGAGAGAGGTAAAAAAAATAAATTAGCAGGACTGCCAATTTTGAGGTAAATGATGCTAAAGAACAACAATTTTTGGTAGTTAGATATATAGTGGAAAAAAATTTAAAAAATTGTAATCCCTCAACATGTTTAGTTCCAATACTTGAACATACCACACACCAGGACAGGCATGAAACTAACGTAGTTACAAAATCAATAAATTTAACAATCCATGTCCGAACAATATAAGAAATGTCAATGGAAGGCAAAGAAAACATAGTGTGTAGCCAGCACGAATGCGTTCCAAAGCAGAGATTAGGCATACGCAATGCAGGGGAAAACACTGAGTGGGGAACAAGGTTTCATGCTTTTCCCAGTGATCTGTTAAAACGCAAGTTCTATATTGTCCTCCGCTCTGCATCGCCTACTCTCTGCTTACATGCGATTTCTTCGATCGGCATTTCCCCGCATGTTCGGACATGCGTATGAAGTTGTGTTGTGTTGTCTTCACTATGTCACCAACGAAATATGTTCCCGGGTGGGCGAGTTCTCTCGCCTCGGCAGGTAGAGTAACCTTGGGAGGCAGGTCAACGTTTCTTCACATAGACACTTTGGCTCGCCTAACCGAGACAACTCTCGGCGCGGTGAGTGTCACGCAATGCCTAGATTAGGATTTAAAGCATAAACTTGTATCAAAGAAGTGAAAATTAGCTTGGCAAAACCCACTGTGATCGAATGACCGCGGAAAACGCAAAGAAAGTGGGATGTTTGCACATTTGATTATTCAATAAGGGTTATGAATAATCATGTACGTTCAACTTTGACTCGGCCTACAGGAACGACGTTTTCACATATAAACGCTCGATAAATTTGCCTCAAGGGGAGGGTTTTCTCGGGTACACGGGACCATATAAAAGGGGCCTTAGGTTGGGTTCTTGGGTAAGACACTTACTCGCGCAACTTCACCCAGGTGTATAAACTGGTACCAGTGAATTCACTGCTAGGGAATGGCCATGCTATGGACTAGCATCCCATCAAGGGGGAGTGGAGGGCTAGAAATACTCCTAGTCGCTTCATGTTACTGAAACTGGTGATAAGTGATTAAAGGGGCCAGATAGTTATATGCAACTAGTAGGAGGGGAATTGAGCAACCAGGAAGTTCTCTGGGCTTTATTTTCCTCTTGTTTCATATAGTAGACGGGGCGGGGGAGGAGGGGGCATGCTCATAGTAGCCATGAGAAAACCTTCCTGAGGCGCTGTAAGGAGAAATTTGATGTAAATCACTTGGGAATAAAGGGTTAAGGTTCTTTATCTACCACATGCCACTTGTGCATCATGGCTGTCCTTAAGCTAGACTTTGAATAGTCACTAATTCAGTACTTTTAATCTGTTGATTTTAATTTCTCAAAACAGATACACTCATGAAAGATATATTACTAAGGAGGCAATTTTTTGCTGGACCCTCTTGATGCCGCATCAACTTGTGATTACTCGCAGTCTACATTGTAGAACCACAACCAATCAAAGTGTTTAAAAAAAAAGTTTAAGTGATCAAGATATGAAAACCAAATTCATGCTGTGATCAGGACATTAATGTCCCCAAACATGAGACTAAGCCAAACACAATCACTTGTCAACTCTGAACATCCAAATAAAACTAGTCAAATGGTACAACAATAGGGAGGCGCGGTGGCCTCATGGTTAGTACGCTCGTCTCCGGATCGAGCGGTCCGGGTTCGAGCCCTGGCCGGGGACATTGTGTTGTGTTCTTGGGCAAGACACTTTACTCTCACAGTGCCTCTCTCCACCCAGGTGTATAAATGCGATGGACTAGCATCCCATCCAGGGGGGAGTAGAAATACTGTTAGTCGCTTCATGCTACAGAAACCGGGATAAGCTCCGGCCTGATGGGCCACTTGGCTCGCATGCAGACTTTACCTACCTTTTTTACCTTAAGTGGTACAATAGAGGGGCATATATTTACAAGAGCTGCACACACTCTTACAATACGATCGATCATGGGAGCCTGGACACGTGGTGACCCATGAGGATTACATGCAAGAAAGTCAGAAACTCACTATCTTATACAGCAAAAATGCGAAAAACCAAATAAATGGGCTAAGTCGCTAGAAGAATTTAATTAGAGGATAAGCAATTTTCGGAGACATTTGTGCTGCCACTGAGAGTTGCAAATGAACCTTACTTACGTTCCTTTCAGTATAAAATATTAAATTCTATTCTATATACAAATGAATTACTTTGTAAGATAGGCTATTAACTTCTTACTCCAACTGCTCCTTTTGTCATCACACCACTGAAACCATATCTCATATTTTCTTTGACTGTTCTTTTTCTTCTTCCTTTTGGAATGAGATTTTTGACAAAAATTTAAATAAACTTGGCAGTTGCGGAAGCCTCTCTTTAGAATATCGTGAGATTATTTTAGGGTTTTGAACAGGGGAGATGGATCCGCTAAACTTTATACTGATTTTAGGAAAAACGTACTCGGTGGACTTGCTAGTGTAAAGAGACGAAACCATCTTTCAGCCACTTTGAAAGAATTTTATTAAATAAATATCAAACCAAAAAGTATATTTCTTGTGAATCGAATAATATCAATTTGTTTAAGAAAAAATGGAGAATTTTTGAGGAAATGATTTTTTTAAACAATTAAGTCCATAATCCATGATGCAAATGCGGATGATCTCTTTGTTAGACTTGGCTGGCAAAAACTTAATCTTCAACAAGAATTAAAAACAGCCACTATGGTCTATAAATCTCTCAATGGTCTCGRCRCTGATTATCTGAAATCAATGTTTACTGATCGGAGTGCAATATCTACCTATTCTCTTAGGAATTGTGAGGGCAAACTAGCTGTTCCACTCCCCCCGCACCAATTTTCTAAAAAACAGTTTCAGCTATAGTGGTGTGGTGCTGTGGAACAGCTTACCACCGATCTGCGGCAAGCGCAAACTCTTGCTAGTTTTAAATCCGGCTGCAGGGGTTTCCTCTTTCATAATAAATAAGTTAATTAATCACACGGCATTCATGGAAAGCCATCATTTCGTCATTGTTTTTATTTTTGTTGTTATTAGATTAATTAGTAGTAGATTAGTATCTTAACAATGTAATTAACGCAATTTTAGTATATACTATAAGTCCTGATGTTTTACCCGTGTATAAATAAAGTTAAAATAAATAAATAAATATGTTAAAGTATGTACTTTATAAACTGTAATTGTAATCGTTAGATAGTCACTTAGTTACATTTTTTACCTGTTTAAAGTAGCTGTAGTTAATACATGATTGTGGAAATGACTCAAAAGATTGTAATATATGGGAAATGTACCAGAAATGTGCTTGTAAAATTGCAGTGTGAAATAAAAGAAAAGAAAAGGAAAAAAAAGAAAGTCAGTAGGCAGTGTACCTTCTAAAATAGTATACTTCCGCTGAAGCAGTCCAACACCTCTTTCTACATGGATGCGAACGCTTACTACGCCCCTTGTTTTCTCCACATCAGTTGGGTCGACCAGTTGGGATTTTCCTTTGGTGAATGCCGGAATAACCAACTTTGCTTGCTTCAGGCCAACACGCTCTGTAATAGTGACCCCCTGTCTGCCATCACCATATCCCCAGGTAACAAATGTTCTAGAAATCCACAGTTCTCTGTAAGGAACTTGTCAGATGTGCGGCCTCCCCAGGTTTCAGATACATGGGATATGTTTCTTTGAGTGGTAATTCCTATGAGAATTTTTATGGTGTTATGATGCTTGTAAGACGAAAAGGTTTGGGCCTTGGCCAGTAGATTTGTTGGCCTTTCAATAAATACTTCAAAACAGTCAATGATTACGGTGACTTTTTTCCCAAATGCATATTGAAAACAAATTGGCATGGTATACCACAACTGTTCTCGTTCTGGCCAGTAAACAAGAGAAAATAACTTGGCATCCATCACCACCATCCAAGCCGAGAAAATACGTGAGACTTTAGCCATAACTACTGTGAATCTGTAGGCCAAGTCTTCAAATGACATATTTAATCTCAGCTTCATCAGCACCACAACAAATTCTTGAAATTTGTTAAGGGTTTGAGTGCGGCCATTAACATGAGGTGCAACCTGTTCAAACATAACCATGAGAATTTCGTAGGACGGAAGTCCTGTGTAAAATCGCACCCTTTCATCTACCTTGAAAAACTCCCTGTCTGGAGCTTGCTACCCACTACTGTTTGGGATGAGGTAGTCGAGTTCTTCTGTCCGAGTTTCCGCGTCCCTATCAGGTGCTTTAGAATCACTTGATTTCATGTACAGATAATCAAACGCCTGTGTTTGGATTTCAGCATCCACATCGGGCAGTTCATGTTTGCTTGTTTTCCTGTGGAGATGATCAAACGCTTCTGTCTGAGTTTCAGCACTAATGCCTGATGTGGATGCCACATCAGGCAAAGTCTGAGGAGGCATCTTCAGGCTCCATCTCTACGCTTGCTGCATCAGCATACTGATCTGAGGTACCCTCTGTATTTTCAGAAAAATCAAGAGAAGCGATTCTTGTGCCGCTTTCATTGATACGCTTACGTTTCGCAGCAGCTTCGAGTTCCTGTTGCTCTAAAGCACTCTTTCGACGCACTTTCACTCTTTCAGCTCTTTCTTGCGCCACCCGGAATTCCTCTCTCTGTATTCCTTTTTTCCAAGGTTCAATGTTGGAAACCAGCCAACATTATGCTTGTCTCAATGCTTAGCAGGGTTACCTCACACAAAGTGGCGGCCACAAACTCGTTCACTTTGTAAGACATTTTTGTATTCGGTATCACCTCGGCTAATCGCCGAAATCCACCTCTCTCGCCTTGTTGTCGTCAGTTCCTCCATCTGTTCACCTATTTTTAACGACAGAAGGAATACGAAGCATTCCTATACCATCTTTATTGCTGATTTTGGTTCCACAACCGACTACAATATATGAAACCATGACTGCGTCTCTTTCTAGCTCTTGCTATGTTTATATCCAAGGGGCTCCAACATGGCGGATGCCACACGTGGTCAATTTAAGGTCACGTGGGTGAAAACCAAGAATAGGTATATAGCCCTATGATGATAGGGCTATATAGGTATGTGTGGTCCCAAAGGGTAGGGTTTTCAGCCGTTCTGGTCATAATTAGGGTTGCGATTTTGGCCATTTTGGTCATAAATTGGGTATGGTTTTTGCACTCTAGTCTTAAAGTGCACCTAACCCCAAAAATGTTTTTTCGCTAAAACGTATCCACTTGTTATTTGAAGCATTTGGGCGAAAAAAGTTTTGAATCCTCGATTTTCTATGCCCTTTCAAAGTCGCGCCTGAAGTGTTACACGACCGCGTTT